TATTAAAATTCTATAAGTGATTCCGCCGATTTTCACTATGAAATTTTTACCCTTCAGCTGCGAACTACCCCTTAAATCTTTTGTAACTACCCGATTTATCAATAGTTTAATTTGATTGATTCCCCCTGATATTCTGATATTTTAATTTTATACTTAGCAAAATCCAGTTTAGGTGTTATATCATAGTAAATACTATTATTTGAATCTTCTATTTTAAGTATCCATAATCTTGAAGTTGTTTGGATGCATGCAATGGTTATTTGAATTGCTTTATAAACTTGATTACGAGTATATATTTCTTCTGATGTGCATATATCAATTAAGTCACCTATATAAAGTGGTTATTTGAATCAGAAATTCTGGGTCGCTCTATTTTTTCTGAGGGTGGAAGACTGTTTTCTTGGTTTTCAATACAGTCAAACCTGTCTAAATGAATACTGTATAAATAAATATTCTGTACAAATGAATACAAAAATTTAGAACCAAGTTGGTTACTAAGGCTAATTGCATAAACTGCTTAACTGAATAATGTATAAAAAATTTTTAATTTTATTAGTAAAAATTTATACTAACTGAATATTTTAAACTTTATCTGCATAATTGTTACACAAAATTTTATAATTTGATTAGTTAAATTATATAAAATATACTAATTTTATTAATATTTTTATATATTTTAATTTTTTGTAAATAAATATCCTGTCTAAATGAATACAAAATTGGTCCACCAACTATATTCATTTAGATAGATTTGACTGTAGTATTATTAATGACAAGTTTTAATAAAAATTTCTTTGTACCTTTAGGTGTATCTTGATCTGCACGATGACAATAATATTGATAGATTTTTCTTTTCCAAATAATGTATATATTTTCATTGCTATGATCTCGATTATATAATAGACAATACAATTCTAAAATCTGTCTTAAAGTAAAAATATTCAGAGATATTGGTGGTGGATATAAAACATCAAAGCCTTCAATATTTATTATGGATATTCTATAAAATAGATAGGCAAACTTCACAAACTCTGCAACTCCGCTATTAAAAAATTAATAATTACTAATCATTAGCGAAGCTTATTTTTTATTTTGTCCACCTATTCTATAGAATATCCTTTATTATCTTGAGTAACTTTTCCATATATTCAACTTCAAATCCAATAGTCCCATTTTCTGCTTTACTATTTTTCACTATTTCTTTCAGAATATTCAAGATTAAACTGTCTATAACCGGTAAATCATCATTAGGCAAACGAAGCATAAAATCGAAAATTGTACTATCTTTTAGAAATAATAGTTTCTTTATTCGTATATATTCATTAGTTTCTTTAACAAATTTTGGTGTTCCAAGCATTCACAAGAAAAATGATCTTTTATTGGCGATATTATCAACAATATCTTTGCTTTGTAAACTAACTGGGAGTTTTTTATGAACAAGCTCAGTGAATACTGCAACTTTGGCAATATTTTTAAGTTTTAAACCAAAAGTAGAAATATGAAGCAACATTTTTTTCTTGTTACTACTACTGGCAATAGTTAAAGTGTAGGGATTCCAATCTGAATATACTTCTTTACAGGTTTTTGGAAAGGCATGACAAAGTAAATTCTGTATTTCTTTAGGTAAAAGCTTGGGTTCAGTTTTATCAAATTTTTCTCTAAATAAATCAAAATCAATAAAAGGATGAAGTGGGTCATCGATATCAATAAATTTATATAATGAATAACCATTACGTTTAGTGAATATATTTTTTATTCCATCTTCGGTATTTGTACCAAGGAATTGTCTTGGCTTTATACTATTATCATGAATTTTATACATATATTCAATTATACTATCGGCTTTAGCCCCAGTAGTAGAAGGCCCATTATTTTTTTCTAGCTCTATCTCGGCTCAAAATTTTTTGAGTTTTCTGGGCTTTCTGGTCGATAAGGTGGTGCTTCTGATTCTGCTAGCATGTGATCGATATTTTCTATTGTAGAACAGCTCTTAAGAGTGTCTTTACAGGTATGAGCTTCGCTCTGGAAATTTTAGTTATCTACAGTTAGCATATCTGATGATGCAGGTGCATTGAGACTCTTTTGAATATTTTGGCTAGTCATAATACATTGTTATTTTGAAACTATAATAGTGGTTAGAAAAAAGTTCAAAATGAAAATTAATTATTTTAGATAATTAGTGTTAGATATATAAGTATATATTATCAAAGAATTTAGCATAAATATAGGATTTTATCACTGTTCTTATATTCTTAGAACTGGAGAAATATGTAATCGAGGTTGCTATCAACCTGAGGGGTGCCAAGTTTACTAGAATTCTCCTATTCGCATACCATGTAAAGTATGTGGTAAATTGATAGTATCGATATATGGTGTGTATAGAACTCATACTGGTAAGTATCGATCTCGCAATCATTATCATTGAAAAAAAGCTAGAGAAGATGGCACAAAAATCAGAAGCATTTGAAAGAAATACATAATGTTCAGATATATCGATATTTTATGTCGAATATAGTTATAAAAATTTGTCACTATGAAAATGATTGTGACGAAAAAATTTATTGTGACAGTTCCAAATAGCTATCTTTTATTTTTAGAGAGTTGGAGCTCTAACTAGATAACTATCACTATATCACAAAGAGTCTCAATGAAAAATCGAACTTCTCTAGCTTTTTTTCTTTTTTATTTATAGGTATAAGGTAGAGAAGGATATTCTGGTATGGGTGGGTAATGTAGTGGATAACATATTATTAAAGTTAAATCTTAGTTTATCAACTAGAATCTAATGATTCTTTTACTATTTGATTTGTCTCATCAAGATGAATCGAATAATATAAAAACACTCGATTCTGACTAATAGATTGTAAAATAATTGTACAAAACTCTGAAGCAAGTGATATGTATACGTAGTAGATAATTGTTATAATGTATAAACTGATAATTATTTCTATTTATAGTTAATATTATATTAATCTGTCGATCTGCCACTTTACTCTCCCAAACGTTGAAGTTACTTCACATTAATAAAAGTCATACAAACACAAGTTAACTTGTCTTCTTATTTGATTGTATAATTTAATAAACAAAGAATTATGTTATATTAAAATAAAATTTGTAATTAGTAATATTTTAAGAAAGTTTTATTATAAACAAATCTTGATAAATTTAACTCTGCCAGAATACCTCTCTCTACCTTATATTATATATCATATATAGGTATATCATAGATATATCGTAGGTATGCATTATATATATCATAGGTATATATCATATATATTGTAGGTATATATCATATATATCGTAGATATATCATATATATATCGTAAATATATATCATATATATATCGTAGATATATGTAATAGATATTTAATGTATTGCCATGAATATCATGCAAAATCACAGTCAATTATTTATTATGCGTCATTACGGCACAGCCGCGATAATATATAATAAATAATTGTCTATGATTTTGTATAATATTCACGTTAATCCATTAAATATTTGTTTTATCCTCTGAATTCTAACGCCCAGTGATTATTTTACTGATATTTTCATCTTTTTATTCTTTTTTCATACAAAACGATGCCAAACCAGAAAAAAAAGAAAGAAATTCAAAACACACAAATTCCTGTTTTTACTAGTGCACGCAATTATGTTCCAGAAAATACTTCCGAAGACAGTGTTATTACAAGCATGCCAAGATCTGAAATCGAACAAAAACTGGATTTTTACAGGAAAAAAGCTGCAGTACCAAATACGGTAAAGGCTACCCAAAATTGGACGAAGAAGTTTAATGAATTTCAGCATCATTATAATTATATCACACCAATTGAAACTATTGAAGATTCTTATTTAATTGAGCAACAAATATGTGAATTTATTGCGCAAATGACAAAAAAAGATGAGGTGAATACAAAGCTAAAACTGTTAAACAGGCTATTGATGAAATAAATAGATATATTAGCAAAACTAGTACAATTCGTGGTCTTAATTTACATGACAAGTATCAATTTCTGGATTTACATGATATTTTAAATGGTAAAATAAAAGATTTACAGGAAAGAGGATTTGGTGAAAAGGAAGGATCTATGGCTTTAACAGTGCAGCAAGTTAAAGAGATTCTTAGTGATAAGTTTTTAGATTCTAAAATACCACAAGGCTTATTGTATAGAATTTTTTTTCGTAATGCAATAATTTTTGGAATCCACCAGGGCGACCAAGAATTTTTCAGGTCACATGACGATCGACAGCAAATTCATCTAATGGGAAACCGTAATTTAGTGTAATATAACACAATCAGAAAAGTCACAAAACAAATATTTGTTTTGACAAAAACATCGTTTATCTCAAGAACTAACATAAGAATCTGCCTTTTATGCACTAATTAAAAGATTTTCTCAACCAATTTTACTATATATTTCTTATCTTCTAACTTTAAATATATCAATAACCCTAACTTTAACGAATTTTAAGATGTTTTGTTGTTTTCACATGACCCGAAAAATTCTTAGTCGCCCTGGTGGATTCTAATTTTTGTATGTCAAGGTGGTGAACACTATTCACTTCAAAGTAATTAATTTCAAATTCAACCTAACAGAAGTATTTTATTTTACCAATATCATAGTAAAAATAATCAACGAGAAATTCAAGGTGGAAATGCACACTGTATTCAGTTACCATCTGATTCATCAAATATTCCTGAACCTGTTAGCGATTTTACCAAATATATTTTCAAACATCCACTAGGTGCTTCTGATAATTTCTATTTGCAACCAAACCCAAATTGGCATGATACTAATATTTGGTATC